ACAAAATATTCTACTGTGTAGCTGTATAATTCAGTCTGGGTGACATTCTGGAAAACATAAAACTATTAAAAACCAAAATCACATCAGTGGCTGCTAGGGGCTGGGGTGAGAACATTAATCATAAGAAAGCACAGAGAAATATTTAAGATATTTGTGGTGATGGCAATATTCTGTGTCTTGATTGTGGGTGTTTAAATGACTGTATTTGTTTGCCAAAAACGTAGAACTGTATCCCTAAAAAGGGTGAATTTTGCTGCATGTAAACCATATTTCAATAAATCTGGCACTAAAAAAACCAATAATATAAAACATGGGAGTGATAAATGTTCTGGGAAGTCATAAAAATATGAATATATATTATAAATAATGTATACAAATATATAATTTATATTAAATGGAAATAAGTCATAGATATATGTTGCAAACTCTCAGATAACTACAAAATATTACTGAGAGAAATTAAATGCCCAAAAAAGGAGAGGAATAGATTTTATTCATGGACTAGAAGACCCAATATAGTAAGATATAAATTCTCTCCAAATGATCTATAGTCAGTACAATTCCAATTATCCTTTTCCTAAAGTTTTTTGTGGAAATTGACATGCCAATTCTAAAATAAAGATGGAAATGCAAAAGACCCAGAATAGCCAAGAACTGAAGAGGAACAAGGTTGGAGGACTTATACAACCAGATATCAGGTAGAACCTAGACCTAAATGTGAAAGGGAAAACAATAATGTTCCTGGGAGTTAGTAGAAGAATATGTTCATTCCCTTGGGGTGGGCACAAAAAGCTCAAACAATAAGGGTAGAGACTGACAAATTGGATTTCACTAATATCAAGAACTTGTGTCACCAAAGGATAACATTAAGATAGGGAAAGTAAAGACACTGAATGGAAGAAGATATTGTCAATACAAACACATGAAAAAATACTCCTCCATAATATATAAAGAACTCCTAGCAATCAACAAGGAAAAGAGACAGTATGATTTCTAAAATGGGTAACAGACTTGAACAGATATTTTATAAAAGAGAATATCCAAATGACCAATATTCATATAAAGATTTTCTAGGCATCACTGATCAGAGAAGTACAAATTAAAGCCACAGTGAAATATCATTTCATACCCACCAGCATAACTAACATTACCCAGCGTTAGTAAGGATGTGAAGCAACAGGAACCCTTACACACTGCAGGAGGAACCGTAAATGGAAATGATCACTTTGGAAATCTCTTTTGCTTAATTACTAAAGGTGAACATGTGCCTGCTCTATGATCTAAAAGTTCCATTCCTGGGTGTATGCTCAACAGAAATGAGTACTCTGTCTAACTAAAGACATGTACAAGAATGTTAATTAGCCAAATGTTGGAAACAATTCAGACATTCATCAGCAGTAGAATGGATAAATTATGATATATTGATACAATGGAATACTACACGGCAATGAAAAAGTATGAACTATTGATACATGCAACATCATGGATGACTCTCACAAATACGATCAGAATCCAAACACAAAAGAATATGTACTATATGGTTCTGTTTATATGAGTTCAAAACATGGCAAAACTAGTCTATATGGATGTATGTCAGAACAGTGGTCACCTTTCCTCAAGGTAAAGGCTGAGGTGGGGCACAGGGAAGTCTGACAGGGACCTAACAATGCTTTTTGTCTTGATAATGGGTATTGTTTTCATGGGAGTTTCCACTTTGCAGAAATTTATGAAGATGTGCGCTTAGGACTTGTACTCTTTTTGCTTGTATCTTATATTTCAGCAATAATAACTTTACCAGAAAAGAAAATACTGTGGGTTTCTGGAAGATAAATCGAAGTACTGTGAAGAATGACCATTGGCCAAGCCAGTTTCCTAAAGGGACACAGAGTTCCAAATATGATACTTATCAAAGTAACATTTTTTGTACGGTAACTCATTTTCCCTACAACTGTGTGTGGCAACCTCAGAAACAGTGTCTGCTCAAGTGTGGAGGGACTTTAGTTAGTATTCCTTCTCACTGTATTATTTCACAAAGGGACTGAAACTTCTAGAGAGATGTTGATTTTAGTGGGGGAATCCTCACCAGTAGAATAATCATTTACTGGTAGTTCCTGAAGCCTACCCCACAGATTTTCACACTTGTTGCTCTTTTTCTCTCTACGCAATCCTCCCTGCCTAGTTTACTGGAATTCCCACCCAGAAGGGAAGTGCACGCGACAGAAACAGTTACCCCTTCTATATTTAGTATTTCACCACTAGCCCTTATTCCTGCTTACAACCCATTTCTTGGAGATTACGCAGATTTAGGGAATTGAAAAGTTTGCATTCACAAATTAAATCACTTACGGTTTTCCTTCGATGGGTGTCTAGATCACCTACCATCACATGACACTAGTGAAAAGGCTAAAGGGTTGTCATTTTGCGATTGCAGAAGCCTCACAACATTGGTCACTTTTCTTCATTTACTGGATTCAGTCATCCTGCAGGCAAGTGATTCATCCCAAAATATTTTGATCAGCAGATAAATCCACCAATGAAAACCTTTCCTTAAAATACGGTCCATTCCAACTCCCAAAGGAGATACAAGCTGCATAATTTCTAAAGTTTACCATTTCTTCCCATCGTATAGAACTTCTACCTCTGTTTTTCTTTATAAAGGGAAAAATGGAGGCTTTCTGCCTGTTGTACATTTACCAGAATCATACAATCATAAAAGTATTCACACACACACACACACACATGAAAACTGTACACAACATCATTGCCTTGGGCCGGCCCCGTGGCCGAATGGTTAAGTTTGCGTGCTCCGTTTCGGTGGTCTGGGGTTCGGATCCTGGGCGTGGACATGGCACCGCTCATTAGGCCGTGCTGAGGCAGCGTCCCACATGCCACAACTAGAAGGACCCACGACTAAAATGTACAACTATGTACTGGGGGGATGTGGGGAGAAAAAAGAAGGGGAAAAAAAGAGATTGGCAACAATTGTTAGCTCAGGTGCCAATCTTTAAAAAAAACAAATCATTGCCTTATACTTCTTGAAGTGTTTCACCCAGGAAAAATATAAATAAAGAGAGGTTATTGGGCCTATCAGAAAGGTAAACAAAGAGCTAAGAAAGCCAAGAAGGGAATTCTTTAGCAATAGCTTGGACTACATTATGCACCGGATGACCTGACTCCATTGCAAGGCTCACCTACCCACCATCTCTGATGTGAAGGACTCTTACCCGACCAAACGTTCATTAAGGACCTGCCACCCATCCTGGGTAGATTGGGAAACAAACATGGTACAAGACTTCTTTATAAATACGTATAAATTATGTAATCTACTCGAATGGAGAATGCAGACTTGCATGTCAGCACCTTACAAAACCCAGGTATAAACTAAAACATGAGCTGTGCAGGTTGGTGTATCTGCTAGGTCTCTGCTGGTTATTTCTGGATTGACATGTATCTTAACTTCTTCCCCAGAGATTCCATGACTATAGATGAGCCCAGGTATAAATTCCACTTTATCAGCTGCGGTAGTTGCAACCAGCTGCCACACCTAAAAGATTAGGTAGATCAAACTCGGGCACGTCACCAGCCCTCCTCTTTTATCCCTGGTGCGCATCTCTGGAGACCCTGAGGGGATCCTTTGGAAAGAGGTATTCTTAGCCACTGAGCTAGTTTTCCTCGTCACTACCTCTTAACCCAGGATACCTTGTTATAGTGGTTACAGGCATCAGATATATGAGCCCTAAACCCCAATTTCTGAGTGTTTCTTTACATCAAGTCACCAAACATATAGATCACAGCTACATATCCTTGTGGGTGTACAAACCACGGGAAGAACTGACTGGAGTACTGGAAAAGGGACAAACGAAACAAAACAGCAACAACAAATAGCATAAGAAGTAAGATACAGGACAGCTATTACTTTCGTTTGTTCATTTGCTTTGTTTTAAAGTGGCTAACTGGTTTTTTTATTTGTTGGCCATTCTCATTGACCTTTTTTTTTTGTTTTTAAGATTTTATTTTTCCTTTTTCTCCCCAAAGTCCCCCAGTACATAGTTGTGTATTTTTAGTGGGACACCGCCTCAGCATGGCTTGATGAGCGGTGCCATGTCCACGCCCGGGATCTGAACTGGTGAAACCCTGGGCCACTGAAGCAGAGCACGTGAACTTAACCACAGGGCCAGCCCCCTCATTGACCTTTTGATGTTTGGCCATTACTTAAGATTGACTTTGTGTCTCACTTACTTGCAAATATACCTCTTTACAGATCAGGAAGAGGCACCCAACAACAGACAGGCAACGTCTCTCAAAGCCAGCTCCCTAGGCTGGGCCTCTCGATGCTCCAGTCAAATCATTCACCCATCTGGACCCAGGACAGTACAAAAGGTGAAGATCAAGCCATGGGTCATCCCGTAGTAGTTCACACCTGTTTCTGTGGTTTGCAAAGTCAACTCTTAAAGGAACTGTTGCAATCTTTAAGATTCCGAATGCACACTTTATGAGCAGAACTTGCTAAAAACTACTATTAGAAAAAAAAATGGGGGGGCTGGCCCAGTGGCGTAGTGGTTAACTTCAGCAAGCTCCACTTTGGTGACCCGGGGTCTGTGGGTTTGGATCCCAGGCAAGGACCTACACACTGCTCATCAAGCTGTGCTGTGGTAGCATCCCACATAAAAATTAAAGGAAGATTGGCACAGATGTTAGCTCAGGGCCAATCTTCTTCACCAAAAAGAAAAAAGAAAGAAGAAAAAATTTTGACTGAGTAGGGATTTGTAGAGACCACTCAAGTCAGAGGTTCCTAATCTCTTGGGATCATGTAGCCTTTGAAAATCCATGGAAAGCTATGGATCCTTTTGCCTCCAAACTGCATTTAAGATCTTGCATAGAACTTTAAGGAATTTTAGATTTAAGAAAAATCTATATATATTATGAATCTCATCCATGAATCTTCTCAAAGTCCATGGGCTCCCCATTAAAAATCCCTGATTTAACCCAAGTAGGAATAGGAGGTCTCGAAAGGTTAAGTAGTTTACCTAAAGTGACAAGAGTGATGAGAGCAGAACAGAGACTAAAACATGGGCACCCTGGCTCAGAGTCTACTGCCCACACCACTGCTCTGGAATAAAGAAAAATCCAAATTTAAAAAAATGCAATTATTCTGGGGGCAGGTTGGACTTTCTTGAAACATATATTGATTGATATAGGAAGTTGCAGTGGAGACAAATGGTCTTGAATATAAGTGAAAGTCAGATTTCCTATTTCAGGTCTAAATTAATTACCTTTCTTTTTCTTTTCTAGACCAGCTTTAAAGCTAGGTGATCAGGTGATTGGAAACATAAATTCCTAGGAACAGGCATTATGCTGGTGTTTTCCTCCAGTATATCCAGGCTGACATGCAGGAGAAGAGGGTCCCAAATTTTGAAACCACCGTTATTTATTCCAAAGTCTGTAATACAAACAGAGAGTAAGAGCCTGTTTTATTTATTTATTCATTTCAGGAAGTTAGACCACTATGTATTTCTTGCAACTTTAAGCATCATGCTCTTTCTATTTCTAACAAAATTTTGGAGATGCTCACTCCCAGAGTTGCTGGAAATGTCTGGCATTGATACCCCACAATGAAGTAGCAACCTGTTAGTGATAGTGGAACTGCCCTTCTATGGGATTTATGAGACACCCTGTCCTGGGTGCTCCCTCTTCCCTCTGTTCACACAGAAATTGATCCTATTAGCAAGAGCAGCCTGGCAAGGATGCTGCATTGCCTATGTTTAAAGTGGTTCTGATTCTTCCTAACTGTGTGACTCTAAGCAAGTCTTTTAACCTCTCCGAAACTTGATGTCCTCATGAGTGAAGCAGGAATAACAATCAAACTGGATTACAACGTCACTGAAGGTAAAAGGCAACCAGGCATGCAAAACAATTAACCCAGTGCCTGGAGCACAGAAGGCCGGCTGCACATTAGTGAGTGTTGCTGTTATTAACTTCTCAGATTAAGGCACAGAGCCAGGAGAGGAAGGGCCAGAACGGAGCGCTAACCAATGCCTGAAATTGAAGAAGACATTATAAAGCAGAATGGCTTGGCCTTGATTAAAAATACAGAATCAAGGGGCCCGCCCAGTGGGGTAGTGGTTAAGTTCACACACTGTGCAGTGGCCTGGGATTCGTGGGTTCAGATCCCAGGTGCCGACCTACGCACTGCTCATCAAGCCATGCTGTGGTGGCATCTCACATACAAAATAGAGGGAGATTGGCACAGAGGTTAGCTCAGGGCCAATCTTCCTCACAAAAACACCCCCCCTAAAAAACCCGGAAACAATTGAAGCTGGTCTAACCCTAGTTACTTTCAAACAGAATACATGAAAAGGTTTCTACCAAAGGGTCTTAATTAAATACAGTATCAAAAGGACCTCATTAAAAAGATTCTATTATAAACTGCAGCCCCAGGGGTAGTAACAAGGCAAGATTCCAGTGTCCTTGAACCCCCGGGATAATGATTTTCTGGTCTGTTGTGGGAAGTGATTCCTCCTGGGTTCTGCCTGTGGCCACAGAGCACAGCTGAAGCTCAGCTACTCGTCAGCTTCCAGCTTCTGAGAAGAGAGGCGGAAGCTTGTGACTGAAGAGTCCACATATTACAAGCAGAGAGCACAGGGGCTTTCTCTGCAGAGATTCTGTTTTTCTTTTGTGGCAGTCATTTTTGGTTTTAATATGCATTATTTCTCATTCGTGCAGAGGATGTCAATCTTTCTAATCAGAGCTTAGGCTGATTTTTTTTTTTTACTATAATGGAGACTCAATAAGCACCTATTGTCTTCCTATTATTTAAAAAAATAAAACACGAACTGTCAATCTTCTGTGTGTCTTTTTGCTGCTTACCCTTGTGCTGCAAGAAATCTACGGGGGCAGAGCTTAAATGTCGGAAACCTGGTTGGCTCCCTAGAGACATCTGGAGGCCACCTCTCCTTCTGGCTTCTCAGCGCTCCAATGGTGATCCAGATGGTGAAGCGAACTCTGCAGATTGGGCCACAAAATTCCACTTCAAAAATAAACAAAGACATCTTGCTTCCTACCTTGAGGTTGTGGCTCCAATCGCTTCAAACAGCCTGTTTACATAACAGCGGGGAGCTGGCCTGAGCTGAGATCCCTTCCCTGATAAGAACCTCAGCATGTTCTGTGTCCAAGCTGTTTGGGTTCAAGTATAGGGCAAGGCCCAGAAGGGGAAAGCTCACTGGGTCCCTGTAAGCATGGCAAAGATGTTGGGCCTGTTTTTTCAGGAGCTGCCACCCAGCAACCCCATCCAACAGCCCCCGATTGCCCAGCACCGCTAGACAGAAACATACACCAGATCAACAGGCAGGAGATAATTTTCACGCTTCCAACTCCAGGAAACAACTCATCACTTGTCGTTAACCTTCCTTCCACCTCTTACAAAAATATTTTAAGATACTCTCATCCTAAAACAAAGTTGTTAAATTTTAAAACTTTAAACCTTTACCTAAATTCTGCAAACGTCACAAACTACTCCGTGTTCTTCCTCCCTTCTCCACCTCTGCAAAGGGCAGTCATCTATCGGCAGAGAAATATACTTCGAACCTCAGGAAATTGTCAGTACTCAACTGTCGTTGACCCACAGAATCTTTCATATGGTTCAACCTAATGCCCTCAATCTGTTGACAGTGTTTATTACGGAGGGCTCTTAAGTGATCATTATTTTCTGTTTTATACTTTTCTATATTTTCCAAATTTCTTCAACCAGCATTTATTAGTTTTAAACTCACAATTGAAAAGAAGTGGTCAAAGTCTCCATCTCCGCTTTCTCAAGACACGTTGATTCCACAGCCTCTTGACATCTGCTCTTTGCAGTTGCCCTCTTTCTTCTCTCACTGAGGACAGCAAAGTGACCCAGTGACTAAATTCAGCCCATGCCCCAGATGAACCTACTGTGACATTTGACATTTTCTCATTTCTACACTCTCTCCTTCACATGGCCCTGGTTTTCTTGGTTCTCCAGCCTTCTGTCCACTCCATCACAGTCTCCTTCTCTGGATCACTCATTGGACAAATACTTACTGAGTATTACTATGTGCCAGGCACTCCCTAGAGGCTAGTAAAATGACATGAACACAACACAGTTTTTACCTCTGCTCACCCCTAAAATGTTGGCATTCTCCAAGGTTCTGTCCACTTCTCTTATTTATTTTTATTTTTATTTTTTTGCTGAGGAAGATTCGTCCTGAGCTAACATCTGCTGCCAATCTTCCTCTATTTTGTATGTGGGTTGCTGCGACAGCATGGGCGACGAGTTGTATAGGTCCACGCCTGGGAACCAAACCTAGGACACCAAAACATAGCACACTGAACTTAACCACTAGGCCATTAAGGCTGGCCCCACTTCTCTTATTTTTTATCTTCACCCTGGACCATCTCTTCACTTGCATGGTTTCATTCTCTTTCTTGACTTTTGTGCTGATGACTCACAAACCCCCCATTTCTCCCCACCATACCTCTTCCACTGAATAGTCCAAAGGCACCTCAAATGCAATGCATCCTGAACCAAAATTTAACTGCCACTTTGTTCTTTTTCCAGCACTTCCTAGGTAGGTCCTGGTTTCCTATTCATCCAGCCATGCATTCTAGAGTTTTCCTTTATTACTCCCTGTCTTCAACTAGGTCCCACTAAAAGCAGAACCTAGGACCAGGAATTGAGTACAAAGAATTTATTTGGAAAGTGAACCTAGGAAGCAGGAGTGAGAGACCAGGGAGTGTGAGGCCGGGAAGGAGAAAGGACCAGTGACGGGTGCATTACTGAGTGGGCTCTTGTGGTTCTTGTGGTGGGCAACTAGAGTACCTTCCATATGGGACTTTCTGAGAACCACGTGGAATAGCATCCAGTTTTTCCCATTGAAGGATGAGAGGCTGCAGCGTTTTTACAAATTCTCATTTCCTAGTGGTTAAGGGTTGTTGGGAGTGGACATGGGTTGGGTGTTCCCTGTGCCTCCAGTGTACGTAAGAATCATCTACCACAGCCGTAGTTGAAATCAGAAGTGAGGCAAAGAGATATTGCAAGAGGCATGCATACATCTGCCACCCTCCTTCTGTCCCCACATCCAGTTTCCAACTCCTAGTACTTTGCCCTCTTAAATATTGTTTAATTTGTCTCTTTTTCTCCATCATCACTTAGTTCAGACTCTCACATCTTATTAGCACAAATGCAACCATCTGACAGCTATCTTTACCCACAGTCTCTCCTCCATACTGCTGCCAAATGTATCTAAAAATATTCCTGATCATATAGATTCTTTGTTTAGAAATTCAAGATGACCCCCACCCCCACCCCGCCAAAGCCTACATATCAAGTACCTATACAAATGGAAGCTAAATTTCTTTTGATGGCATAGCTGGCCCTTCACATTCTGTCTCCAGAATGTTCACCTCATACAATGTAGCTGGCCTACCCCACCCAGCTATATTAACTTCTCACTCTTTCTCAAATTTGTCAGGCCTCATAATTTGAACATTCTACTTCTTCATGATGCTTAGAAGGCACTGTGTTTATGAAATGCTACAAGTTCAAGTCACATAAATTTGAAAATGTTGAAATAATATTTTAAGGTTTAATGGAATAGAATTCAATTTTTTTTAGAGCTCAATTATGTTTAAGTGTCCTTGAGTAGAACCCATTATTACTCTCATATTCTAGATAAATAAGCATTTCCCTACTTTGTCTTATACATTTGTTTCCAACGGTTACAAATTTTGACTAAGTAAATGAGCAATAGAAAAAACAGAAACAGATGAAAGATGATAACTGATGTCATAGAGTTGAGAAAATCACAACCTAAATGCCTGCGAGAAGGGAGAGAAGAAAGAAGTGAGGCGATTTGCCGCTGCTGAACCCTAAGAGGCACAGCACTCGGCAACACGGAAGTCTCTGCTCAGATGTCGGTCCGGACGAAGAAGGTATGGGTTACTTGTTTATAGAAGGTTGGAAATTTCCCACATACCTGATCCCCTCCTTCATTCAAGGCAGCTAAGGAGTCTACCTTCCTCCTACATCTCCTGGAGGACAAAGTGTAATGTTCTGGATAAACAGAAGCCTGAAAGGAGAAGTGGGAAGAGGAGCTGGGCTTGAACATAAGGGCATGAAAGCAAACGTCCACTTGCTGAGCTGTGTGCCCTTGGCCCCTGTCCTCCCCTCTGCTCGCAGAACACCAGCAACCAAGTGTTTACACCACCAACACTATTCCTAGCCTCAGGACAGAGGATTGAAACTCTTATCTGGAGAAGCTGAACAGCCCCCAGGAAAAATACTTCACACAGAGATAATTGGGGACCGCCTGATGGAAAATCTAGGTCACCTGATTACCTTAAATGGCATTTCACTAGCCAACAAGGCTGCCTCCACCCCTCACCTACAGACAAAGCCACCAATCAGTTTGTTAGAGCCTCACTGAAATATGACTAGACATTCAGGAGTCACAAGAAATTGAGAAAATCTTCTAATATAAGTGAAGGATTCTAAAAAATAAAATGAAAACGAAAGACAGAAACAATATAGGATATGGAAGAAAGCTACCCAAAAACCATACTTAATATCTTCAGAGGGATAGGAAAATATTGTATCCATGAAAGAAGAATAAGATGTGATAATAAAGGAATGATCAGAAAACAAAAAAGATATCTTGATTTTTTTTTAAAGATTTTATTTTTTCCTTTTTCTCCCCAAAGCCCCCCAGTACATAGTTGTATATTCTTCGTTGTGGGTCCTTCTAGTTGTGGCATGTGGGACACTGCCTCAGCGTGGTTTGATGAGCAGTGCCATGTCCGCGCCCAGGATTCTAACTAACGAAACACTGGGCCGCCTGCAGCAGAGCGCACGAACTTAACCACTCAGCCACGGGGCCAGCCCCAATATCTTGATTTTTTAATGCTAATTGAAGAAATGAAATAAAAATATCATAACAAGGAAATCTCCTAGAAAACAGTTTTTAAAAAGTCAAAGATACAAGAAAAGGGAGAATATATAAGCAAATAAGATCAGTCTAGAACATTGCTACTCAAAGTATGGTCCACAGACCAAGCACTGGCATCCCTTGGCAACTTGTAGAAATACAGATTCTCAGGCCCCACCCCAGATCTATTAAGTCAGAATCTGCGTTTTTATAAGATCCCCCAGGTGATTTGTGTGCACACTAAAGTTTGAGAAATTTATAGATGAGATCCAATATATTAGCTAGGATGCTTCGGGTTTCAAGTAAGAGAAACCCATCTCAAACCAGCTTTAAAAATAAGGACGGTTTTTATCTAAGAGTTGGACTAGAGATAGGGTGGGCTCCAATTTTTATTGATTGAGGTATTTATCCCTGTCGTTAAGGTCCCATATTCTCTTAGCCTCTTGATTCTGTCAACCACAGCCCCATCATGACCATCTGTCTGGTTCCTCAGGTGCCATAAGACTGGAAAAATGTAAATAAATAGATAAAACATTAAATAGCATGCAAAATAGTAAAAAAGAGTAGAAAGAGGCTTTCTCTGTGGACTAGGTCTGGAAGTAAGGGTAATGGCGAAGTCTGATGTTTTTCAAAATCAGACTTTCAGAATTCAGGTATTGTTTTACTATTAACATAAATTTTAATTAGATCAAAGCATAGTACTTTGATCTATTTAGAACCAGATGATTCAGATGATTTCACTATTGTTAAAAGAAAAAACTTAACAGGTATAGAGTTACCAAGCTTCCTACTTAGTCGCTAAAAATTCTCTGGCTGCTAGAACCTACTTATATTGTTGTTTAGCAACCAGCTCAATAAGCTAGTACCTTGGATGGTGCAGGAAGGCAGAAATGTGTTCTGTTTTGTTATTGACATGGATGTAGGTTAAGAAGAAAGACTAGAAGAGAAATACTGTGTTGATTCATTCAACAAATATTTTTGTTGAACTCTGAGGGTAAACCACAAAACATAATGCAAGATCTCTGCTTTCAAGGAACTCGTATTCAATTTCAGAACTCATATTCAATCTCAAATTCAGTTACATACTGAATAGTAGGCTACTAAAATACACACCACCATCAGAGATATTATCTTGAGTGGAAAATGCCAGACACAGAAACACGTACTAAATGATTATTTTTATATCAAGTTCAAAACTAGACAAATCTAATCTATGGTGAAGGAAGTCAGAATTTAGGTTACCCTTGGAGACAGGGGTATGAGTGGACATTCTTTCCCTCTTCCAGCCTCATTAAGTAGATGTAAAACATTTAGAGTGAGCAAAAAGATAGTAATCAATAAGACCAAACTGTGCCATGTAGGCAAGGGTAACTCGTACGTCACAGGGATTCTCAAACTCTTTCCCATATCAATAGGCATTTGAATAAGAACTCTCTCACAACACAAGAAATTGTGGGGTAGGTCCACCCCCAGATAAGATAAGCTTGAGTTATTTCTACTTCCCTGAGCAAAAGCTATAACTCAACTTCCTTCCCATAAGTAATCATAACATATTAGCATGTCAGATATGTGGTTGAGGGTGTTCAGAGAAACACTGCACAACCCATCCTCATCTTTCCAACTGTGTAATGAAAAGGTGACTTTTTCAAAAATGATTTATTCCATGACTTTGTCTTCCATAGCAGCAACAAAGGAAACTCTATTGCAAGCCTTTAGTTTCAATTAGTCAGCTGAAACTGAGCTGATGCTTTTGTTGCTTAAAGATAATATTGTATGGCCAAAAGCCATGTAGAAAATGCCCAAACCCTGCCTCTGGTACTCTTTCCCCAAATTCAAATTAGAACCAGCCCGAATCGACTATCACCATACTGTCCAGATATCCTCTATATCTAATCAATTCCGTCTTGCCCTGGTAATACCAAGATG